ATTGAAACTAGTCACGATAGTTGCACGCACGCCTGCCTGGTCACTTTCCGTTCCTTGCAGCCCCATACGCACATACTACATCTCCCATCAGGTGGTGGATTCTGTTGAATCTTTAAGTCAGGGCTGATTGTGTAAATTACTCTAACCAATAGAATACATAAAAAGTAACATGCTGGGGCTCTAGAGGCCAGTTCTTAAGTGGAGTGGGAGCTTGTGCCTCTCCCCTGGCAATCCTGAGACCACCATACTATCAGGAATTCTAAGCGAGCCATATGGAGAGGCCACATGGAGGAGAATCGAGACACCATAGTCAACAGCCCCTGCTCTCAACCCCACCAGATGAACGTAGCCACACAAGTGCCCCTAGGTCAAACCAGCATAAGAACCACCCAGTCCACCCACAGATTCTAGAGAAATAGTAAATTGTTATTTTAATCCTCTAAATGTTGGGGTGATTTATTACACAGCAATAGATAACTGATAGATTTGCCTAAGTAAATGGAGTGAGGGTCGTTTGAAGGAGACTGGGGTTTCTTACCAAATTTCCAAATCAGAAAAGCTAACCCTCAAAGGGCAGGAACCAGAAGTCTGTAGCCATCAGCAGCAGGCGTTACGACCTTCCAGCCAGAACACCTGGTAATGCAACCCAGTCTCACGCTCAGATCCATTTCCTCAGACTCTCCATTTCCTAGGAGGAGGGTGTGATTGGGTCAGACACCCTCACCCCCAGGCAAGGACACCTAGGTCACCCAGACCATTGCTAGGGGGTTCCTGGGTGAGCCCCACAGCATGCTGGGACAATAGCCAAGGCTGTACCCACTATGCTGGAATATTCCCCACAATGGACTCTAATGGGTAAAATTAATATGGCAAAAAAAAGCTTTGATTTTTTTTTTTCTGACTTGATCTTTGTTCATAAAATGCTGCTCATCACTGTTGCCCAAGCTCCTTACTTTGCAGTTGAGGAAACGAAGGCACAAAAAAATCAAAGAAAGTTTCTGAGGCCACAGAGCGAAGTAGTGGCTGAGCCCAGAGAAGACCGTGAGTCTCCTGATCCTAATTGCACACGCTTTCTTCTTGCTTAAGGTCACATAGCTGGACCGGCAAGGGACCTTTTTTTTTTTTTTTTTTTTTGAGGGGGGGCCCCCCTCTGTGTCCCAGGCTGTAGTGCAGTGGTGCGATCTCAGCTCACTGCAACCTCTACCTCCTGGGTTCAAGCAATTTTTCCTGACTCAGCCTCCTGAGTAGCCACCACATCCAGCTAATTTTTGTATTTGTAGTAGAGACAGGGTTTCACCATATTGGCCAGGATGGTCTCGATCACTTGACCTAGTGATCCACCTGCTCCAGCCTCCCAAAGTGCTGGGATTACAGTGTGAGCCACCCCACCCGGCTAGGGAGCTTTTTTTAAATTAAGCAAACACTTAAACTTTACTGGATGTCAGGCACAGTTGAAAGTGTTTCATAAATATTAATTCACTTAATCCTCATAACAACCCTATTTGGGTACAATTATTATCTTCCAACTCACAGATAAGAACTGAGGCACAGAGAGGTTAAGTAATTTGTCTGAGGTCACACAGCTAACAAGTAATAGAACTAGGAATCAAACCTAGGCAGTCTGACTTTCAACCATAAAACCATGTTGCTTCCCTAGTATAAAAATGTATTATTTTCATATTATCGCCATAATAATCCCATCATGGAAGTAAAGGTGAGATTATCTAAAGGTAAAAACGACTAAGTCTGAGGGTCTAAAGATCTAGACTCCAACCACGTGCTAGCTGTGGGGCTTAGCCAACTCACTTAACCTCTGTCTGATTTTTTTCCTCCTCTGAAAGAAAGGAAAGTTGCCCTACTTTAAGAGATAACATGGTGGCTTAAGGCGTCAACATATATGAAATTTAATTGCCAGACCGGGGCAGTGGCTCACACCTGTAATCACAGCACTTTGAGAGGCCAAGGCGAGCAGATCGCATGAGCTCAGGAATTCGACCCCAGCCTGGGCAGCATGGCAAGACCCCATCCCTCCAAAACATACAAAATATACAAAAATTAGCTGGGCCTGGTGGTACACGTCTGTAGTCCCTGGTACTCAGGAGACTGAGGCAGGAGAATCACCTGAATCTGGGAGGCGGAGGTTGCAGTGAGCTGAGATTGCACCCCTGCACTCCAGCCTGGGTGACAGAGCAAGACTCTTGTCTCAAAAAAA